AATCAAGGATGTATTCTACATATTATGATAAATTTAACAATACTATTAATGATGTATCAAAATTTATTATTTTTATAACCAAACTTTAAGATATTATATGGTAAAGATTACTATTCTATTTAAAATCAAATTTATTTTAATTTTAGTTTAATAAAAGAAGTTGCATGGAAAAAAGGAATGATTTGCCCATTTTTATTTTTCAGATTATTTTGAACAATATCGCTTTAAAGTTTAAAGATCATTCATTTATCTATTTCACATACTTTAAAATTTGTAAGATTATACCTTGAGTAAAAATGTTCATGACCTTAAGTACTAAAACAAAGCAGTACAAATATCAAAGAATGCATTATAAACATTCAAAATATAGCCATGACATTAGACGATATATTAAAAAATTGTATTGTTATTTGAATTATAAACATTTTTTTTTTAAATAAAAAAAAAAGAATTTAATTCTATTAACTTTGTACTAAAGTTAATTATATACAGAATGTTAACCCACATATGCTAATCCCTTAATACTGGATCCTAATGCTGTTTTACTATTAATAATTAGATTTACTATTATTATAAATGTAGTAAGTCGTTGTAAATTTTAATAAACTTCTTTTTAGATTCTCTTAGGTCAGTGTTTTCATCTTAAACTATTTTATTAATCCTAAAAAAATATGGTTTAATTATAAAAGATGAAATTTTTTTTGTATGATGTTTATATTACAGCATAAAATCAATTAAACATTAAAAATATTAAATAGTAGTTCCTAAGTATAATAGTTGAAATAWAAGTTAATCTAGAGTAATAAACTCATTGATTCTTATAACATACTTTTCTTTTTTGTCTGATTTTTTATTTTTAACTTTGTTCTTTTTGTTATTTGTAGATTCTAATTTGCACCTAAATAAATTTATAACAAATTTAAGTATAAATATAAACAATACTTTTATAAGTAGGGTTAAATGCTACCTAAACTCTAAAATAAATATACCTATCGAAAAAAAATGATTAACATTAATAACTGTCTTAAATAAAATGAGAGGTTGACCAAGAAGTTCAGACCCCACTCCACTATTGGCCAATAATGATATAATTTTTTTTAAGTGGATTGTAAAAAAAATTATTCAACAATTTAACATGTCTTAATGACAAAATAATAAAGTCCTGCAAAAAGAAAGTTATGACCAGAAACCTGACAGAAATATACACTTTTGAATTTTGATGGTCCCATGAGTGTCCCTTATAGGCAGGTTTCATTGTCAAGTTAATCCTCAGCTTCATGTTGGGAAAGTTATATGGTTCTCTGCATGAGCGATTTCTGAATACTGATACTTTAGTA